AAAAAAAAACATGTTAAGTACATAATAACAAATATCATTTAGTCTTGTTCCACACTTTACATCCAAATGACACACCCTTGTACTCTAGTAGGACCCTGTCAATATCAAGGCCATCTTCTTTTGGATTTCAAAGTAAAAGACCATTTCTAATGTGTGTGTATGTAAATGATGGCGTGAGTGTGTGTACATCTATGGACATCAACTTGATGTTTGCTAAAATGATAACTTATTAATTCATATAGAAACAAGTTTTTTTCTGTGAAAAACTAAAATCAACGCCAGAGAGGGTTAAAATAATTTTATGAAAAAGTTAATTCCACACCAGTTACAGGAATAAAATATTAATAGTAAGACAGCAGGAATAAATAACAAACAGGAGAAATATATACAAAACAAGAAAACGGCACACATGAGAGAAAAGGTCACATGACAACACAGCATTTTCTACCCACACTTTGAACTGAATAACAAATAACATGTATTTATTAATCTTGTAGACAATGAAAACAAACAGAACTCAGAGTGTAAAATTTAAAAAACTTTTATTGATGTTAACTTTTTTTTAAGTTATTAAAAAGAAAACCCCAACACAGGAACCCCTCTGAGCAAGCATAGGCGACAGTGGGGAGGAAAAACTCCCTTTTAAGAGGGAGAAACCTCCGGCAGAACCAGGCTCAGTGAGGGGCGGCCATCTGCCGCGGCCGTTCCAAGGGTTTTCTTAAGTATATCATTTAAAACTAACCAATTTAAAGTTTCCAATTCGTTTTCCAGAAATGTTTCATATCACAATTTCTTTTACATTACATCAGCCTTGTTTTGTTTCCTGGTGAAACAAAACAGTCGGCCTACAGATGAGAAAAACCGATGTATGCAACTTGGTTTCTTCGATAGTTTGGCTGCCTCCTTTATGAAAATTTCAGCAATCATATTTTCGATTGCTGGCTGATTTAATTCCAAGGCTAGCAAAACTAATCCTGCATTTTTAAACTCTTTACACATGGCTTTGAAAATCACCTTATGGAGGTTTTTGAACTTCTCTAAGGGGATTTTTATCAATTTCATCCTCAATTTTAGCCCAGATGTTGTTGGTATGCTGGTTGTAGATGTCTGAAACTCTTTCCAGACTGATGACTTTGCCTGATTTTTTTACAGCTCGCTTAACGTTCTGACATACAGTTTTCCACCAAAGATCTGTATTTTTCTTTGTTATCTACAGCCTGCAGGTGGCACGGCGGCCTTTGTCGATTGGAATTCTGGGCTTGACAGTTTTTGGTTTTTTGAAATGAAATTGAAATGAGGGTTGTTTAAGAATGAAATATTCGTATAACTGTTAATGACATTGACATTAACATTAACGACACCACTTCCATGATTATGTATTGAGAGGGTCATACCTGGCAGACTCATGCATTTTCATCCCACAGATCATTTCCAGGATATTTCAAATCAAACTTGAGCCGTGGTAAAAAGAGATGTTTAACATCTACTAAGGAGCTTGAACTCCTACAAGCTGGCATTGGGAGATAAACAGTGTCTCTTCCAGAAGATGGTGACCATGCAGAGGTAAGTTTGTATAGTCAGTATTAAAATAAGTCATTGGCAGACTCATTTAGCCTGAATCATATACCACAGTCCATTTAGTGTTCCATTCTGCTTAACTGTGTTTTTAACTAAGATTTCTAGACTTCTGGAAGTCTAGAAACCTTTCCAAAAATGGAATATCTTTGTGGAGGATGGCTCTTTCATAAGGCAACAGGTTTGTTGTTAATTCCGTTTTTATGTGTGTTTTTGGGATTCTTGCGTGCTCATACTGCATTATGATTATGTAGTTGATACTTTTGATGCTTGATTGTTTAGGCTATCTTTCTGTCAATAAAGGTGGCGGTGGTCGACGAAAGCTCACTGTAATTCCACCTGAAACAGAAGGATATTCTGTCAAAACACTGAAAGCTGTATCAGGAGGTGGCAAATCCACTTTTTACATTGTACCTCTTCAGGAAACATTAGACACATCTCCTCTACCTCCCGACTCACAGCACTTTTCAAAGATGCCAAAGAAGATATGTTACCAGTGTAATGAAGTTATGGCTCTGCAGATGCTTGCTGTACACATCAATACGTGCAAAGGAAAATTCTCTCCTGATGAGACTGATCATGAGGTGAGACAATTTTGATGAAATCAAAATGAGCAATTTTGATTAAATAATATAGTATCACAATTACTGTTTTTTAATTCTGCAGGAATCTGAGTTATGCATTGTGAAAAGCAAATGCAAGGTAAACCTAGCACATTACTAAAACCCATAGTAACTACAATGAATTTTGTATCGGTAATGATCTTTTTCCCACTATGCATAACATGTACCCCTTTTTTGAAATTGTAGGTTATTTGTCCAATATGCACTGAGCACTTTCCTGAAGATGAGATCACAGTCCACGCAAGTCTGTGTGGGGATAGGTAATCTTTTTTCAACCGTTTATGAAAAGATGTTAATCAGTAACAGTCCACGCAAACATATGTCGTTTTTTTTTTTTAGACTTTGTTTCGTCAACAGCTTTCAATGCATGGTGCCTGAAGAAAATGACCAAACTACAGGGACACCAGCTCAAACTTCAGTATGCACAACAGACAGCTCCTTTTTGCTCTATTATAGTTCATATACACACTATTATGCAGAACCATTTGTTAAAATTATGTGTAAGATCTTTAACACAATAACTGGGGTTTAATTTCATATAAAACATTTTATGATTACACTACTTTAAATTATTGTTAAAGATTGTTGCACAGAACATGCTGCAATAATTTCTAATCACGTTTAATGTGGTAGCCTCTTTTAATCTAAAGATGATTATTTTTCTTTGAGAACTTAGGATGTTTTCTACCCTGTTTTTGTTAAGCGTGGAAGATGTATTGCGTTACCTTGAACAACAAGTCGACACCACAACAGAATTTAAATTGTGTGTGGACAGAGAAGACCTTCCAGACAGTGTTCTTAGGGTGGTTTTCATTGGAGAGGCATGCGTGGATACAGGAGCACTTAGGAAAGAGTTTTTGAGTGGTGAGTTGCCTATTACCTGTTTTGTCCTAGTGTCAATAAATAATGGATAACTTAAAAATGCAGATATTTTTTGTATGAAAGACATGATTTCAGGTATTGAAAGCAGATTCTTTGAAGAACCTGAGAACAAGGGCAAAAACCCCAAGTATTCTCTGACCGATCTTGATAATGAAAACTTCAGGCTGGTTACATACGAGCTTTGTCTATTACATTTAATACGCATCCGATATTTTTGTAAATGTTACCTGAAATTGAATTATAATCATTTGTCTACACAGAACTGTTGTTGAAATAATTGCAGTCAGCCTCGCCCAAGGAGGCCCATCTCCCGCCTTTTTCAAAGAATGGTGCTACAATTTCCTCTGCTCAGGAGAGGATTTCAGCTGTCTGTCTAAGGAGGATGTTGCAGATGTGGAATCTTCCCTGCTCATCAGCAAAGGGAGCACCTGGTTTAGCTCTGGCACATGATATATTATGAGTATGGTGTTTTTAAACACTTTTAACCTTCTGTATTTCCTCTTTCACATTATACATTTGCTGATGAAATTGTCAGCTGTGGATACACAAACCAGATAAAGATGGATGACAGGAAAGCATGATCCGGTAAGGGAGAAAAAGTCAGAGGGATCATTAACCCATCCCCAACTAGTTTTTCATTTTGTTTGTTTTTTGTTTGTTTTTTTTAAGTGCCATTGTCTTACACTCTACAACAAGACTGATTCCAATGCTACAGCAGCTCAGGAACTGTGTGGTCTTGTGAACCTGATGGCTGTAAATCCTGAAGCTTGCCACAGTTTGTTTGTTCCTGGGAAAATCCTCAAAGTAAGTATTAACATAGCAGCTTCAGTCTGAGCCAAAGACACTCCACTTATCTGTACTGTAGTTATCCTGTATTTATTTATTAGTTTTGAATGAACAATATATCTATAATATAATCTACTTTATTTCCTTATTTACAGCCAGACGCTGATTTCATTATGATGAGCTGCCAACCACATTTTAGTGAAAAGGGGACATCTAGGGAGAGACCTGAGAGGAAGATCATAAATTTTTTGCAAGATTTCTTGCAGGAGATTGAAGTATCAGGTACTATATAGTATTAGCGGTATATACCTATAGTATTGTATATATACCGTATGCATCTGTTAAATATTTTTGCTTTAACATACAGGGCACTAGGAAGTATTCTTAGTTTTGAAAACATTGTAATCCAGATTGCTTTTTATTTAGAAAAGACTTCAGAAACATTTTCAAACATTACAGATGGAAACACAGGCAGTGCAGGTGGTGAAAAATCAGAGTCTCTTGCTGTCCACCATGTGCTCCAGTGGATGACCGGCCAGTCCCATGTTCCCATCCTTCCTGATGAAAAGAGACATTTCAAAATAACATGCAAGTTTGACCACGAACCCAGGAGCGGCTGGGAGATCACTCAATTTGTTACCCAGTTGTGAGTGCATGCACTTGTACTGTGACTTTTCCAGTGCAGCATCTGGACACTTCCCCAGTGTTTAAAACCATAATGAGTGCAGCAGTTAGATATGGTGGTGGATTCCACAGAGTTTAACACATTGTTGTCTTGTAATTTGGAATCGAAGTGAGTAAAAATGTTTCTAAACATTAGCTGTTAAGATGTTTGTAGCTGTTTCATGAAAATGACAAGACTTCAAAACTTTGTGTAGGGTCCTACGTTGATAGATAATAAGCAAGTGCTTTGTTTGCTTGTCTACTTGTAATCTGAATGTTTTAGCAAAGAAACAACATGTCTTGAAGTTCTCCAGAAGCCTGGTAAAGAAACGAATCATTTGATTCAAGTGTGTTGACCCAGGGTGATATCTGAAACCTGCGGGACACCGGCCCTTGAGGCCTGGAGTTCAACACCCCTGGTGTAATTCATTAGTGCAGTATTAGTGGGTCACCTCTGTTTGAAGTGATATGGTATGATATGACTATCACTAAAACGGCAAACTTTGTGCTGGATTATTGTGCAGTTTTCTCGAAGAACCCGGGTGTATGACCCCAAAAATTGAATTTAAGAACTAAAACTGAATGGTGAGAAGTGAAACTGAAAGCATTCAAGAGCTAAATTTAATTCAAATTCAGTTTTAAAAGCTGTTATTCAGGTTGAGCAATTCAGATTTGGTCTGAGCAATGAAAGTGTTGGCAGGGTGAGAACACCATCTGTCCAGAGTTCAAGTTTAATCTTTCTATACTATATCTATACTACAGTTAACACCTTATCTTTATTCTGTAGTTTGCAAACATTTACTATCCCAAGTTGTTTTGTCACTCAAAACTTATCTGTAAGACTTTTACAAAACTAAAGACATCTGTGAGAGCAGACCTTCATTATTCTTCCCACAGCACGGCTCAGCAGTGAAAGCCTTTACCCGAGGAAGTGTATTATATTGTGTGCTGTAAATTTACGTTTTTTTTAATTAGCTAATAGCAATTAAATATCATTTTTAGCAAAGTAAATATGCCAAATTTAATCACTCTCGAACAATGTGTTGCTGTTTGTGGTGTCTAGAAGTCATCATGAAATGGATACTCTGGATGGTCAGACCACCTGTTGAGCCAGAAAAGAGAAATATTAATTGGAGCCGTTTGTTCAAGGAGCAAAACTTGACACAAGCTGCACTATACTCACATGACAAGCTCCACAAAGCGGATGTTTTTGTTCAACCCTTCAACTGCCTTCATATCAGCGTCAGAGAGAGAGAAATCGAATATCTGGAAAGTTGGCAAATAAGTCTGATTATATTCCATGCGTCTGGTTTTGAGAATGCACTTTTTGCTACCTACACACCTAAAATTATAAACAAACCTCAAAGTTTTCCTTTATGCGAGCAGGGCTGAAGCTCTTTGGGATGACCACCACGCCTCTCTGCACATTGAACCGCAGACACAGCTGAGCCGTGGTCTTGTTGTACTTTTTGGCAATCGATACCAGCAGGTCATCTTCCAGCATTGGGGGGCATTTTAGGTTTACCCTTTATTGAAACAGTGATATTTTAATATCAATCAAGAGAGGCTGAGAACTTGACTAGCTACTCATAAAATGAGTGTGACCCATACCAAGATGGATCTCTGGATGTTCCCAGCGGGCTGTAACCAACAGTGACGATACCATTCTGCTGGCAGTATTCAAGCAACTTTGGCTGGGTGAAATAGGGGTGGCATTCAACCTGTGATAGAGCACATATGTATACATAAACATATATATTTGATTCTGATGAAGACAGCTTGGCTTATTCCCTGCGAGTGTTATGAACCAACCCTTCCAAGTGCATCTTGATTGTTCATGTTACTTAAATAATAACTTCCTATCTCTGTTATGCTTTCATTGATTCAAAGTTCAGTCCTTTCATACTGATAATATTTCAGGCAGTAAACTTACTTTTTAAATAAAGTTGAAGTTTTCCCCACATTGCCTGAATTTTGTTCCTATACCTCTGCAACATATCCATGTCCTATCCATACAATGTTCACATATCTATCAAAACACAGCTGTGTGTGTGTGATTTAGTTAAAACATATAAAATCGGAGTCTTTCTGTTGTATTGTTCATTAGCTCTATGCGCAAATATTTAAAGACTGAAACTAAAGCCTGTATTGTCTTCGGCTGGTTGTGCCTCAGATTCTTTCTCCTGACTTTAATAAATTGCCGCTGCACAATAGAGTAACAAAGCATTGACTCTTGAAACACTACTTTTTAAAATGAAGAATGGTTTGCACATTTATCTGCTGATCTTATGGTAAATAAAGTACTGTACATTTTCCAAATCTCGAGTATTTATATTTCTAATAAGACACTTTCTTGTAAGTGATGCTGAGCAATAGTTCTCCAGGCTTTCTGAAGACAAAGTTTTACTTTGGGCACTAGCTATTTTTTCACTCTTTTATCATGATTATTAAAACACCTAACACTGATCTATGAATCATTCAATCACAAAAAGGCAGCTAATTCAAAGGATTACTCATCGAGTCTACACATTACAGAAAAGTTAGGAAAGAACCAGTTTCTTTAGGGACTTATTAGCATCCTGTAGTAAAAGAAAATTTCTTCCCACATCTTTTATTTAAATCTCTGCCGTGAATAACACGATTTGATGAGCAAAGAGCTTTTAGCTGGAAACTTGGCATATCTCAGTATGGTGTGAGGAAACTAAACAAGTGGAAGAAAGAAAGAAAGAAAGAAAGAAAAAAGCTAATCAACTAATCCATCAACAGTTTGTTGAGACTCACCAGAAATGGTCTCAGTGGAAGGGTGGCTGTCAAAAAGCCATTCTTAAGGAAAAGAAGCAAGAAAAAAAGGCTGAATAGTGCCAAATTACACAAGAACTGTGTCAATACTGTGCCATGCTACCTGACTGAACTCCTTTGTCAAGGATTACTCTTAGTGCAGCCTAGATCCCGGCTAAAGACCAGAGGTGACCATGCTTTTGCCCCGGCAGCCCCGAGCCTCTGGAACAATCTTCCTGCTGCTATTCGCGCCTCTGATTCCATCTATTCATTTAAATCTCAGTTAAAACTTACCGAGCGTTTTCAGTTAGTTAGTTCACATCCCCTATAGTTTTACCCTTATGTTATTTATCTTCTACTAATGTTCCACTGTATAAATACCCCCACCTTATATTTATGATTACCCAGTAATTTTATCTTCTAAACTATGCTCTAATGTTTTATTTCTTATTTTGTCTGTACTTTTTTTTTTTTGGGGGGGGGGGGTTGTACTCTGTTATAGCCTTTTATGTTATATTTTAACCTTTCTGTGAACCACTTTGGTGTACCTGTGGTTTTAAATGTGCTATATAACTGGTTAAATGTGCTATAGCACTGGTTATATTTGGCTTATTTCTGGTGTTTTTCTGCCACCACTTTATGCATGCATACAAAATGACCTTACTCTGACGTGCACTGCAAACTGGTCTATGTGAGGCATGGGATAGCTGTCTATCCTAAAGCTCTGCCTGCGACTATAGGTGTTGGGCAACATGATGACATCTAAATATTTGTTTTGATAACAAACTTCCAGCATCTAAGATTTAGTTCTGTGCCATGTTCTATTGCACAACTTGAGGACTCGGTATACAAAAAACACATGCACACACAGAGAGAGTAAACAACTACTTCCTGACACCTCTAGATGCATAACTCCATTCAGAAAGCTTTAAATGTATCTAACTGAACAATGGTTTCTAAAAGGTCCTTATGGCTATGCAACAGAACTTAATTATTAATTAGACTGTTTTTCTAACTAAAACATGATGAACATTGAAAACTGCAAGCACAGCTCCCCTCCTGCAAAGAGAAAAGACTTTTGAACTTATTTCCAGACAACTGCTAGCTTAATAATGTACCACTAACCTGGTTTGACACAGGCTTGTGTTTCAGCCCCGGCTTGTTAAGGATTAGCTCTAGTTGTCGCTTGTTGAAGTTTGAAACCCCAAGAGATTTTACAAGGCCAGCGTCTTTACAAGCTTCTAAAGCCTGTGAGAGACATAGGAAAGCACAATAATAAAACAATATAGTCAACGTTGAACTTTGAAACAATTTAAAAGCTCACAGAAACAGTAAAACTGAGACACTGTTAAAGCTGTCATTGATTTTTTACCACATATCTTTTTGTATTTAACTATAAGTTAAAGGACGCGTGTACCCAATACTGTTGTTCTGTAGCAGTTATGTTGTCTTCACATATGTTAGGAAATCACTGAAACTAAATTTTCTTGAATAAGCAGGCCACCAAGTCTCACCTCCCATGTGGCACAGAGGTCCGTTTCATAATAAAGCCACTTCCCACTCTCATCTTTGGGGTAAAATGCATCTCCTGGCTTCAGAAAATTATAGTGTTTCAGTATAGTATAGTATTTCATTTGGTGCAGTAAAACCTCATGAAATTCAAATGTAAAAATTAAAAACTTGTTATTAAGTTTTCATATGTGTGCATACCTTGAAACCCATGGGCAGTTCTATAATATAGAGGTCAACATAATCCAGCTGTAATGTCGTCAGGGTTTTCTCTAAAGCAGGTCGTACTAGCTCGGGTGGATGAAATGTGTTCCACAACTTCAAAAGAAAAGAAGAAAAGTTAACAAATGTAGAAAAAAGCTACAAACCTCAGCATTTGTTTTTTAAAGATTCAAAGGTAAGTCATCAAAATGAATATGTTATCGATTTGTATGTTATCCATACCTTTTAAGTTTCTCACAGGCAAAACGCATTTTAGACTCGTTTTTGGTTAACTTTTGCCTTGAGGGACTTTGTAATGTTTGTCTCGAAAGGTGTTGTACAAATCAAAATGTACTTACTTTATCTTCCTTATTTTCTTGTGGTTCAGGGAAATAATATTGGTATAATATTCAGATTGGCTTTTTTTCTTATTTGCATTATTAGTTATTTACTTTAAAATAACTAAAGGAGTTGTACTTTTTTGTCAATTTGGCCACCATTTTTGACAGGAAAACCACACATTTTTAAACTTTCAATTTTTTGTTGGCATCAACAATTACACCCAGAGAAATTCTGCTAAACGCATTTTTCATGCATTCTCGATATAGATGTTAAAGCTCATCTAGAAACATGCATGCTAGGAATGGTGCAACCAAAACCTGTGCATGCCGTCATAGTGCTGGATTTGTTTCAATGAATCAGAAGAAAAACAACCTGCTTCACCCTGAATAACCTACATAAGGATTTTGTGGATTTGTTATTAATGGAACTTGTTGTTTGAGTTCTAAAAGTCATGATGATCTTTATGCATCACTGAACTTTATCAAGTGTTGTCTCTTGAGGTGGGAAGTAACAAAGTACAAATATTTGTTACAATTTTATACAATTTTCTATACTGCACTTCAGTAGTAAAACAGGCTCGTTACTTTTGCCTTAACGGATTTGCTTTAACCTCTTAAGCCCCAACGCCCCCTGATACGGGGGCAAAAAGCAGGAGATCAGGTAGGCTTGGGGCTTAAGAGGTTAACAGATTTTTGTCATTGTGAGCCGACATTGTGTTTTTACATATTATGATACATGCAAATCAAACTGAGGCTATTTAAAGACTACATGAAAATACTCTAGAGATTAGTTTGGTGTACTGTGATGGGTTTAAAGTAAAGAAGAGTGTGTGACTGGTGCACAGTGACTGTGGTTTCATGAGTTTGCATGAGTTCTACATCAAGTGTAGCAGAGATTTATATGAATTTTAGCTGATGATTCTTAGATCTATTGACTGATATTATTTTTTATTTTACTTCTTTTTCTTCAGATTCAAGCTAGTAAACTTAGATTGGAAAAAACTTAGGCTGAAGTTTGTATTCCCATCTACTAATATTATTTTATCATTGTGTTAACATAGCCCAAGGTTCAATTAGCTTTGCACAGAAATAGAAATGTCCTCCAAACAGCTACTAAACAGCCTGTACTTTTTTACTTTTACTTGAGTAAAGAAGTTGAATCAGTACTTCATCTTTTACTGGAGTAGTTTTGAACAGTAATAGATGTACTTCTACTTAAGTACAGAATGTGTGTACTTTTGCCAACTCTGGTGGTTTTTTGTAGATGCACTGTTCAACTTCCATGTCCATTTTTGAAAAGAAGGAAGAAAAATGTTTGTGTCCTATTGTACGGTGGCCCCTAGAGACAAAGCACGTACAAACTCCAAAACACATGCAAACTCCAAAACAC